CACCTTGTTTTCTTCTTTTCATGTGCCCATTGTTGCAAGTTTTACGTTACTTTTGTTAATAATAATAAAAATTTCAACCATTTAACCTAGATTTACTCGATTCTTGCCTCTCCCTAGGTAAGTAAGTAGATATAAATATAAACCAACACCATCTGTGATTACTTTGAGCCATTTATATTGATGTGATGGGGACACGATTCTAAATAAAGTAGTGTAAAAAATATTCTGAACCTTTTAGACCTGTATTATTGAGCATTACTGCCACTGGAAAGTTATAGCTGGAAAAATGATCTTTCCCTTTTAGTATTTCACTTGTTAGATACTCGTCCTCCGTCCGCCGTTACGAACAGACAATATATATATATATATATATATATATATATATATATATATATATATAAGGTTAAAAATTAATATAGTATGATGTGAGTAGATATTTTGTTTCTAAAAATTAATTAAAATTGAATCTAACGAACTTATTTTATTTATATATATTTATTAATAAAATAATTTATAATATTAATATAAAATTTGTATTTGAATAATTAAAAAGTTCTTTTAAGACATTAATTAAATTATTTTATTTAAAAATATAAATTTTGGAACATGAAAAAAATAAATTATAAATAATTGGTATTATGTGTGCGGATATAATTAATTTCTAACAAGACTATATATATCGTATTTAACAAATTTAGAGTATATAAAATAAATAAAAAATATTAAAAAACCATCTAAATCGCATAGAATATATCGAAGTAAATAGATTTAAATAAAAACTACTATAAAATTAGTTTCAATAAATTCTGATTATAAATATATATATAACCAAATAAAACATGTGAATTTTTTAACTAATTATTAATTTTTTTAAAAAATTGAGCCGAATTAATTTTTTAAAAAATTAAGTCAAATTATTTAAAACACAATTTTAGCTCTCTCTCTCTCCCTTATCATAATTTATATATAACAAAATTATATATATATCGTATTTAACGGACTCGAGTATATAAAATAAATAAAAAATATATAAAAAAACCACTTAAATTACATGGAATACATCGAAGTTAATAGATTTAAATAAAAACTACTATAAAATTAGTTTCGATAAATTCTATATATATATATAACCAAATAAAAACCCGTGAATTTTTTTAACTAATTATTAGCTTTTAAAAAAAAAAACTAGGTCAAATTATTTTTTTAAAAAAACTAAGTCAAATTATCTAAAACACACTTTTAGTTCTCTCATCGAATTTATATATTCAACAAAGTCATTTTCATTTAAAAATCATAAAAATAATCAATCGTATAAATTATAATAATATAATTTAAAAAATAACACAATCATGTTCTAAAATTTAATTTCAAAAGCCATATATAAAAAAATTAAATTTATTAACAAATAAATTATATAAAATTTAAAAATTAATTCTATGAGAATTTTAATAAGAAATAAATAATTGAAGAAATAAATTTTAAATAATATAAATAGATATATATGTTCAAATTAAAATCTTAAAAAATATCATATATATTCTATTATTATCAAACTGTACATTAAACTAAAAAAAATAATGATTTTTTAAATATTTTTACACCTAATTTTATGATAAAAATATAAAAATAAATTATTTATAATGAAGGAACAGTTTAAGTAGCCTAACCCTAACCAAAAAAAAAAAAAAAAGAAATGCAATAGCCCTAAAAAAGAAAAAAAAAGAAAAAAAAATGCTATAGCGAAGGAACAGTTTCAACAACGAAGGCCAGCCGTTAAAAAAAAAAAAAAAAGTATTACTATAGTGAATGAATAGTCTTACTCTCAAATCTTTTAGTTTTTTTTATAATAACAGGAGAAAGGACATATTTATTCCCCATTAGTTAATTCAATTCCCAATTGGATCCCGAAACATAATTAATTTTCAATTAGGTACTCCATCTATTGGTCTTTACCTAGTTAATCCTTACCTAAAATGTTTTTGCCTTTAAGATCATAGAAAAGGAGGACCTATTTATCCTAGAACAACATGATTTTCGTCATAAATTTTAATGGTGAGGTTTGATTGGGTAATGTCTGTGGATGGGGATCCAATTTCCAGTTTGTTTTTATCTAGATAGAATCGATCAAAATAAAATAAAATCACGTTATAGTTTGTGGACAAATGTCGTTTTCCTTTTTTCATATTAAAATCCTATCAATAACACTTAATTAATATCCTGCAAAGTTACTCACCCAAAAAAAAAAAAAAGGTTTTAGACTCTTATTTGTTGGAAATGCTTGGAGCATAATATACACTTCCTCTAACATCCACTTCCGCACAAGTGGCTTTATATATTTCATTGATTAGAAGGATCATTATTATTTATTGTCATAGCGTATATTTTATTAACTACAACATTCAAAACAATTGCTTAAGCTTGTTAGTCTTGTTAGTTTTAAGCATTATTTTTATTTTAATTTCTTGTTAATTTTCAAAATTATCATTTAAAGAGTTTTTATATAATTATTTTTTTATTTAGATCTTTCACACATATTTAAAATTATCAATCAAGTAAATTTATTTTTAAAATATAGGTAAAAGGAAAATAATGTTTTGAGTTGCATCTAGAGAGCATGGTTTGAAAATAAAAAATGTAATATACTTTATTATCTTAAATTCATAAAGTAAAATTGTATTCTCTCTCTACTAGGTTTGACTGGTTTGTGACACTGTTTGGAAATCATAATGTTTGGAAGCAGCAAGGAAGTTACATTTTGTCATTTATCTTCATACCACCGCGCAACGGCTGTGATTCCTTTGTTTCATTTTTTCAGTCAATAAGGACTTGATTATCTGCGCTCGCTCTAAGAGTAAGACAAAACAAAATCATTTCAGTTTGATCATTTATGTCTTTTGTGATCTATTAAAACATATGGAAGTAATTTTTTTATATAATATTTTAATTAAAATTTTGTATTTAATTAATTTTTTTTTTGTGTTTTTCATAATTTTTTAAGCTAAAAAAATGGTTTTTTTTTCTTTATACAATGATTTTAAAATAAAAACTTGTAATAATATAAATTAAAAATTTTATCCAAGATTCAAATACATTCCATCAAAATATATATTTTCATAAGATTTTATCAGAAAATAATCTTTTTATTTAATGTCGATGAGAAAATTATTATTTTTTAAAGTATATACATTTGATTTATATATATTTATTCACAAAATAATCAATAATTTTATTATAAAAAAATTGTATTTGAATCATTTGGTGGTTATTTATTTTATTTCAAAGAAATTAGTTTTATGATATTAAAAAAATAACAATAAATGGTTGGTGTTGTGTGTATAGATGCATAATTAATCATGACTATACTTAGTGGACAGAGAGTGTGAAGTACAAACTAAAAAATATTAAAAAATTCATAAACAAATTATATAAAGTACAATCTTAATCTTTACATTGAACATATATTTATAACCATGCAAGCATCATTTTAAATTCCTAAGAATTTATGATACAAATTATATAATATATTAAAAAAGAACAATTATGTTCTAAAAAAAATTTCAAAATCTATACATAGAGAAAATAAATCAGAATTATCAACAAATAAAATTGTAAATAAAAATAAAAATTCATTGGATTAGAATTTTCATAAGAAATGAGAAATTGAAGAAATAAATTTTAAATAATAAGAATAATATAATATGAAATATAAGTTTATTTTTCTATATATATATATATATATATATATATATATATATTTTTTCAGGAGTACATGAAAAACATAAAAAATAATACTCCATATTTCATAATTTTTGCATAAAAAATCTCAATAAAAACATAAATAAATTATATATATATAAAAAAAGCAGTTATAGAACAGCCCTATGCTATTGGGCCTGGTTCCAAGCTCGTGGGCTTGAGTTTGTTTCTAAGCCCATGGAAGGCAAAGGGTATTAACGAAAAAAGATCGACAACACGTCGTCCTCTCTATGTTAAGTAGACGATGTGTGGTCTGTCTGCAATTTTCAACCAGCCAAAAAACGTGTCGAAAAATAGATTTCGAAGGTTTTTAACCCAAATTCAGCTATTTTTTATCCAAAAAAAAAATCTCAAAAATACATATATAAGGTCTATAAACTCTTTCGATGTCTCAAAATTTATTTAAATGCATACAAAACACATCAAAATAAAAAAATTTCAATTTTTTTTCGAACTCTTATCCACTCTTTTTAATCATTTAGTGGTCTATGACTAGTACAAACCGATTATCTTTTTGAATATGAACAAATTGAAAGTAATTTTAACCATCAAAATAGTCGGAATGAGTCTCATTGGTCTTCTCTCTCACTCCTCTTCTCTTTCCCTCCTTGTTCCTCTCTCTTTTTGACATCCAAGGATTAGAATGAAAAAGAAATGAAATTCTAGACTGAAAAAACTCCTAAACTTGGATAACGGGAGAACTAAAGTGAAACTTTTTGGATAAACGGTAGAACTGTACGGTGTAAATGGAATTGAATCTACTATGATGATGAGTGTGCATCTACAATGAACCGTAGAGTAGGCTAAAGTTTTTTTTTTTTTTTTCGGTGAATTTTTTTTTTGTACTGGGTTGCTGATTAGATAGTTTCAACAATTCTGGTTCAAAATGACCAAAAAGACGACATCCCAGTCTCCTAGAGGCTACAGCTGTTACGCATATATGTATGCATTAGGCAGTGTGTTTTGGTGGTTTTTCATTTTTCAATTTTGAACAACCGAGAGTGCTTATCAATTAGAACAAGCTTGGGCCTTTGCAGACCGTCTCCAAACAAAAACAAACTTGGGCCTGTTCAGACCACCTGCCAAACAAAAACCCATGGGGAGGGGAAATCAACCAGTTTGGTGGAGAAGAGCATTTCCAAGCACATTTGACTTTTGGCAACCCAATCTACAATTAAATTTGCTTTCCTACTAACAAAATTAACAACACACTGGATTTCTTGTACGACCAATTGTGTGATTTTATGCACGTAAGTAAGTCTCTGCCCTTATGAAGAACGTTTGATAGTTTTATTTTTATTTATATATATTTTTTTGTTTTTTTTTTTTTGGAAAAATTCAAAACATGCGTGATTAATTGAACTTCTACGGAGAAGTTTAGGCCAGCACTCTCTCGTTTTCGACAGGGGGGTGATTTAAAGAAAGAGAGAATGAATGGAAAAGGCCATTAAAAAGAGAAAAACAAAAAGGCGCTCAGCGCTCTGTTTCATATAAATATCCATGGGCTTGGGTAGATTGGGGCATGGTGTTGCAACTCCCATGGGACAGTGCCACGTGTAAACCCCACCTTCACTAAAAACCAACGGTCTTTTAAAATTTAGAGCAATTTCCACCACCACTAACCTCCTCCAGCTCCACCACTCCACGGTTCTACTTCATAGGTAGCTGCATTTCTGGCTTCTTTCTTTCTTTGTAGCTATGGCAGTTTTATGTGCCTCCACAGCGCTGTTACCAAAAACTCTCCAGCCAAATATAACCTCCAATATCCGCCAAACTCCTATATTCATCAATAAATCCACAGCAAAGCACGAGGACAACAAAATAAGCATTTATTCCCGGCAGCTAAGCAATACTACAGTCTCTGCAATCTCTGGATCTTCAGGCAATTAGCATCTGTTTCTCGTTGCTTGTATTCAACGTTTGATTGTATTTCTTTTTCTTTTTGAGATGAAATTAAGTGGATTACTATATGTTTGATTGTTTGTGATGTGATCGATAGGAATCGAAACTGATACTGGTTTTGTTGGTGAAGACACAACAAATTTCTTGGATACTGTGGAAGTGTTTGATTTGAATGGATACGCAATTCCAATTTCTGATTTGTGGAAAGATAGGAAAGCTGTTGTTGCATTTGCACGGCACTTTGGGTAACTGAACGGCTGTTTGGTATCTTTTCGTTATTTATTATTTATTTTCTGTTTTCATTTTCAAATTTTTAAAAACAAGTTATGAAAATTTGTTTGTTTTCATTTTTTATTTTTTAAAAAATGAAATTTGAAAACAAGTTTTGAAAATTTTTTAAACCTTTTTTTTTTCGTTTTCAAAACAGATATTTATATTTCTAATATATGTTTTGAAAGTCAGATCAGATTTATAATTATAATTAGAAAATGGTTAGTGTTGGGTTTGGATGTGACCAGGTTCGAGGTGTCTAGGAAGTTCGACTCTGGATCGGGTCTTGAGCGCACAAGGTTCAAATGGGGATCAGGTTCGAAGCACTTGGAATTCGGGATAGGACCGATGTTGGGGTTTAGATCAATAGCTAGTCCGATTCCCTTGGGTTCAGGTTGGAATCGGGTCTTGGGTTTCTGGAGTTCGGGTTGGGATTGAATCCGATGCTTTCAGGGTTTGGGTTTAGAGTACCTGCAGTTCGAACCAGGTTTCAATCTAGAGCATTCGGGGTTAGAGATAGGACCAGCACTAAGGTTCAGATTGATACTGCGAGCGGGTTGCTTGGGGTTTGAGTTGATATCAGGTCTGGGTCGTTCAGGGTTCGGGCCAGGATCAAGTCTGAGATGTCTAGGGTTTGAGCTAGTATCAGGTTTAGGGTTTCATGATTTGAGTCGGGATCAATGTCGGGTTTCGTACCAAGATCAAGTCTAGGATGCCCAGGGTTCGGATTGAGATAGTCAAGGTTCAAGTAGGGACCGGGGCTGTTGTTCGTGCCGGGACCAATGTTAGAGTGCAAATGGAGTCCGGGTTGCTTAGGGTTTGGGTTGATGTTAGGTCTGGGTCGTTCAGGTTTCGGGCCAGGATCAGGTCTAGGGTGTCTAGGGTTCGAGTTATTATCAAGTTTAGGGTGTTCACGATTCGAGCCAGAATCAATGTCGGGTTTTGTACCGAGACCAAGCCTAGGATGTTCGGGGTTCGGATCGAGACCAGGTTTGAGATAGTCGAGGTTCAAGTACGGACCAGGGCTGTTGTTCATGCCGAGACCAGTGTTAGAGTACAGACCGAGTGCGGGTTTGGGGTTCAGGTCGAGAACGGGTTTGGGGTGTTCGAGTTTGGACCAGGACCAACTCTAGAGCACCTCGAGGTTGGATCAAAAGCAAGTCCTTGGCACTCGGGTTTTCACCGGGATTGAGGGTGGAGCTAGAATGGGAACCAAGTTTGGGAGATTCGGGTTTTGGGTCCAAAAATTAGTTCTAATAACTCAATTATTCAATTGAAATTAAATACATTTTTTTTTATAAAAATAACTGATCGATCAAACAAGTTTTCAAGTTTTTTAAAATTAATAAAAAAAAATTGAAAAACTGAGAATTAAAACAAAAAAAAAACAAAAACAGAAAACATAAATGATACCAAAAGGCCCCCAAAAATTGGACCTTTATGCCTTCTTAGAAGTACATGGTATTTTTATTTTAATGTAATTTAAGCAATATTTTTTGTTTCTTATGTAAATTCAGTTCGATTTCAGATGTGTACTTTGCCGAAAACGGGCTGATTATCTCGCAGCGAAGAAGGTAATTAATTATTGTTTATTGATTATATTTGTGACTTATGCTATAAAGATTTCGTTGCAAATAACATTTTTTAAAATATTATGCAATCCTCTAATATGTCAATAGGATATAATGGATGCATCTGGGGTGGCACTTGTTTTAATTGGGCCTGGCAGTGTTGAACAGGTATACCGTTTTTTAAAGTTCTTTGCATAATTGCTTCGATGCATCTGCATAATTCCGGAACTAAGAATGTAGCGGCAGCATACTTCAATATATATTTCTTGGGTTCTTAGTTAATGCATTTATTCTGGTAGGGACAGTTCAAAATGGGTTTTGTTTGATAAAAAATTCATCAAGCACTCGAGTTAAAGCCATCCCTTTTAGTTGAAGAATATGGTATTGACTATAAACTGCCATTTTCATTGTGCTGCTTATGTTGGTCAGCTATTTATTGTTTTATCCATCATTTATAACTCTGTGTAGGCAAAAACATTCTCTGAGCAAACTAAATTCAAAGGAGGTATGTTTCTGATATAAATCGAATTGAGTTATAGCATTCCATTCCATGGTTGTTAACATTCAGATAGGATAGCGTTATTAACTACTATATATGTAGCAAACTGAGGCAGATTTTGAAATGAATTTTCCATCTGCCAGCAATATGATTGGTCTTCTTCTAATTTCAAACTAATGGCAAAACCTTTTCTTCATTTTTTTTTCAGAAGTTTATGCAGATCCTAACCACTCATCATACAAGGCATTACAATTTATTTCTGGGGTTTCAACCACATTTACCCCAAAAGTATGTGAGGACAGTCCATTATATGTATCTTCCACGGGTTATTTAGTTTTATATTCTTAATTTCATGTGTAAGTGTGCTACTGACTTATATATAGTAATTGGGAGATCCCAAAATTATAAAGAACTAGCCACCTAGAGACAAGATGTTACAAAATTTCTTAGGATTTCTTCATTGTAAAGAGGCTTTATCAAATTTGCAGGCAGCTCTTAAGATAATACAGTCATATATGGAAGGGTATCGACAAGACTGGAAACTTTCATTTGAAAGGGACACTGTAGCTAAAGGCGGCTGGTATGTGATCCAACTTATTGCAAGTTTGCAACCAGAGTCACCGTCGTGCGATTCACAAGAAGTCACCTGAAACTGAATTATATGGAGCATCGCCATCATGTCTATTATACTTTTGGTCTCAATCAGAACATTTATATATGTTAACGAACGTCAACTTGATTGATTCTCAGGCAGCAAGGTGGAATTATAGTGGCTGGTCCTGGTAAAACTAATATCTCGTACATCCACAAGGTCAGTAGTGCCTAGACTTTTGCTGTCCTCTCTCATTCTGATATAGCTAGCTAGTCGGCAGAAAATGGGAACTGTGTTGTTTCAAGTTTGGAGTCATCTTGAATTAATCACAATGGAGTCTTCATAGGGCATGTCATCATGTATAATAAAAACTTGGTGGGGCTTTAATTTGGAAACCTCGGTAGATTCTTTCGTGAAAATGGAGTTATATAAATGGTCAAATTAGAAGTGCTGATGCTAAGACGCAATGGATCCTTTATTTATTGTATTTTTGTAGTATAATGAAAGTTTCTTTGACTCTGGGCATGCAGGATAAAGAAGCAGGGGACGATCCAGACATTGAAGATATAATCAAAGCATGTTGTTAGGGAGAACACATGTCTTGTTTTTGGTCACAAGTCAATTATAATTTCTATAGTTTATCAAAATTAATTAATTAGTTATTGTCTTATCAAAATATACTTGTTTATAATTATTATCAAAACATAATAAAATTGTTTCAAAATTCTTAATTTCTTGATCAAAATACCATATCTCACCTACTCTCTTTTGTTCCTCAATAAATAAATAAATTGGGAAAGAATATTGAATTGACAAAGAAAAATATGCTTTGATCGCGGGTTCCATTCTTTTGTTGCCGCTCTCTCTCTCTGTCTCTCCCTCTCTCTCGCAGTTGCAATATATAACTAATAAACTTTTTTTTGTCTCCCAGTGAAAATGGAAGTGTTATTGAAAAAAACCTGTTTTTGCCAAAATTAGAAGACATCCAACTTCTCTCTCCCTCCTGTTTTTGTCTCCCACGCGTAGAATTCTAGCTCTTAAATCTGTATCACATCCAACCACAACCAAAGCCTCTCCTCTGTAACACCAACACCACACCTTCATTTCCTCATAACACAAACACCAAACCTTCTTTTCAGTCTTCATTCCCTTATGAATGCATCAGCATCATACAAACAGAAACCTAAGATAAAGGTAGGAGACAAGACACCCCAGTATACAGTTAAACTCATAGGAAGGTAAAACAACTTCCAAGCAATTATATTTACTCTTTCCCTCTTCTATTGATAAACTGTCTTTTAACGCTTCATAAACATCCAACTAGTGCTGGATGCGCACTGTAGTTCAATCTTGAGAAAGAAATACAATTTGCGAGCTGAAAAAATGACAAAAGCAAACACCGTATATTGACAACAAATGGAGGTCATTCTAATACACGAAATAACCTACCTTCACAAGTCTGAAGGGCGGTATTTTTCCTAATGTGTTCATGTTCTTTTACTTTCAATGCCTCGGCAAAATGTACCCTGCTATATGCAAAATTATATTATCTCAAGGGACGGCCAAACAGCCACCAAAAAGATCTCACGACATATACACACTTGTTAGAAACAACCATTGCTAACGAGGTCAGTAGACATCAAGGTTCCCCGTTCACGGCCTTGAAAATCAGTAGAAAACTTTCTTCTACCATCATAAACTCTCTGTTGGCATGGCTGCCACGGTGTCTCAGAATTAACTTCCAAGCATGTGCAGCAAGATACAGCAGGCACATTTGTTTGATTTTAGTAATGCAGCAAGAATTCTAGCCAGCATCACCATGTTACTGCAAAGAAAGATGCAAAGAGGAAGTTAGAGCCTTGAGAGGCAAGGAAATAGAAAAAAAAATGAAGAAAAAGGAAAAACGTACAAGTCAGTAAAATGTCAGTAGTTCAACAAGCTATATCATTGGTCTGGTTCGGGGCAGTAACTCCCACTGTTTTGGTATTGACATCATATGATGACATGACCTTTCTCTGAATCAACCAAGGAGGTAAACTAACCAAGGTTACAGAACAATCATTGAAGAATCTAGAAAAATAAAATATGGAAACAAGCAAATAAATTTAAGAACTTGTTCAAAGATATTCCATAGGAAAATTTTCCCTGGGCCTTTTGTTCTATTCAAAATCTTGAAGTAGTATAGCAAACTATAAGTTCATTCAGGAATGAAGAAAATACAAAGAGATGGATGCAGACACTGATGCTTGTCTCTTGTTTCCACTTGCATTATTCATTACACTTTTTATCCAATCAATATCTCTTGGTTTTAGTTTTCTGCATCGGGCAGAATAATTGCTTCAACACCACATTATACCTGCAAGTTATGTAGGTGGTGTCATAGGAATTATTATGTGAGCAACATCTGCAGATTTTCATCTTAATTCGTCAAACTAAAATGAGCAGACGCCAGCAGAAGAAGGGTATAATTGAAAATCATTGCAGAACCTGCAACTGTATCTGGACTAGGAAAGAAAAGGGAAAAAAGCCAAGAGGCCAGATAAACTTTTGACGGGCATCCATACTTGGATGTACTTTCAACATTTTTTATTGTCATTTATTACCCCCTTTTACACTATTTTCCGTCAGATCATTTAACATTTCTTTTGAAGCAGTCCTGTAAATTCACTTACACCAAAAATTTTATACAGTCGAATTTGCCATCTTACAACACACCAATTGTTTTCTCTGTAAAAGAGGTTTGGGTAAGCCTCAACACAACAGGAAAATAAAGAAATCTACAATGTTACACCTTAGCATTGAACACTGCAAAACTTCAGATCCTGCCATAATACTAAGATTATGGCTGCAATATAACATTACATTACGAATTCTTTCAATGAGCCAAAATATGTAGCAATATGTATGCATGCTGGTAAGAGCTGCTATGAACAAACACACACAGCATTAATACTTACAATTGGCTCAAAATCAGGGCTGGACAGGTTAACAGTAAGGTTCCTCATCAATAACAAAACCTGCAAGACACACCAAAGTAATTATATGCAAAGCACAACGGGATAAACAGGAAAATCACACAGTGAATACACCAAAGATGGGCTCTCTCTCCCTCTCTCTCTCTCTCTCTCTCTCTCTCTCTCTCTCTCTCTCTATCTCTCTCTATCTCTATCTCTCAAGCATATATAAAATTAAAATATTATACTTGAATGACTGCTATGTTAATCAAGTTGAGAAGATGAAAGGCTAATTTTGAAAAGCCCAAACAAGTCATCAAACTTATATGTAGACATGCAGGAGAGGACTTTCCCCAGACATTAATTCACTATATCCGAAAGTAACTTACCATGAAAGCTCCAAATAAGAACTACTTCTGTCAGGTTAACCAGAAAAATTAACATAAAATTGATGTGTGTCTCTTTTCTTTATATTTTAAAAATTGACGTCCAAAGAGGATGATGGTGTTCAACCAGTATAATCTGATTGTCTTGTAAATAGGAGATAAGACTAAAATATGCAATCCCGTACAAATGGCAATCCTCATTCTTATATGTTTTCTTTCAGATCCTTAGTTCAAGTTCACTGACACAGAACACTGGTTTTGATTACCAATTTACCAGCAATATGTGGCCCACAACCAAGTATCTCGCAAATCTTGTTAGTGCTCCAGCGATATTATTAACTTCTTAGTCCCCTTGCATTTATATGATGCTAGAGTAGAAAGATAATAATAATGGTTGATCCTCCGATTCATTTAAGGTGCTGTAGTATAGACTTCCACCATAATAATGAACCACTTCTCGCCGCTATACTACAACATATCCAAGTTACTCTATGATTATACAAATACTTATCTTTGCATAGTATCATGGGAAAAAGATGCATCTCAATTCAATTCAACTCACAGTTTCAAAATTTATAGGATCCATTTCCTTGAGCTTTTTCACATGCCCTTTCATGTCTGGATCAAAGACACTTCCAATGAAGCCATATACTTCCGCAAAATCTGGTATACCTGCAGACAATAGGTAAAAGTAAGAGAGAGCCCATTTATTTCTTTGAGTTGGAGGTCAGTATCAGTGGAACATTAACAACTTTAGTCTTGTGGATTACTGATTACCGTGAAGCATAGGTGCTTGCTTCCCTTGCTTTGGCATCTCAGCGCTCGGCAATGTTCTACTTGAGGTCCCAAGGCCACTGACATTATTGTTACTAACCCTTGACACACCCTTTGGTCCAATATCAGCTGAATCAGTAACGTTGCATGCCATAAGAAGTGCTGGAAAGTTCCCTCTAGTAGAAATAATCTCCTAATATAATAACAAGAAGATAACAAATGAAGAAGTAGGCACACCTTCAGCTCTGTGAAGATTGCTAAGTTCATCTTGCGATGGCATGATTGTGCTTGTTGCGGAGTTTATTAACAATGAAGTTTCATCCCATGGAGCATATCCCGGTGCAAAGGTATTCATTGATGAAGGGTAAGCCATGGATGCTGGGAGTGGCACTAAAACTGCAATAATTAAGGTACAGCAAAGCAGAACGTCAAAAAGGCCCTTTTTTAAAAGAAAAAAAGTATCCCAACAATCATCATATTCCATCAGAAGGTCAAACCGTTTTTCGATGCCTTCTGCGGGTAAGGATGAGAAGCTTTGCGTTTAGGGCGAGGAGGAGGCACATGTGCAATTGTCCCATTCTTTTGGACCTTCAAAAAGTATTTCTGTGCATGACTCCGAATCTGCAAATGTATACAATCAGAAAGAACATTCCAAAATGATAGTCTAAACCTTGACCTGCAAAGCCAAAACACTGTATGATTCAGACCTGGATCACCGTCTTTGAACCCACAAAATCTTCAATCTTTTTCCAGTCACGATCAAACCTGAATGAAAAGGACCAACTAAAGTTTAGTTTCCTGTCATAAACATCTAAATAAAACAGAATTAAGAAGCATTTAATTAGCCCTCCGTTTATTTATTACTTCCCAGATAGCAATACAACCGAGAAAAAGTTAAAAACAAAAGTAGAGACCAGATTGACGAAATCCAAAATGGCAGATACACAATTTGAAAATACTCAGCAATTGAAAGTCAAAACGTTGTACGGTGTCAAATTATCTTTTGTTCCACAGCACAATTCCTGCAATTGCAGCTTTTAACAGAATTTACATTGATTCAAAGGTGTTTCTAACACCACCAAATTGTCAAAAATTAATAAGCAAATATCAAATACCAACAAATCAAAGTCATTTTTTTTTGTTTTTTTTAAAAACTATTAGTACGTGGTTTCCTTTCTTTCTTATTTTGAATTTCAAGAGCGAGAAGTAAAAAACGAGGAGTAAGAAAGAATAGTTATAGGGAAGAAAAAAAAGCGAAAAGGAAACTAACAATTGAAGTGCTTCAAGAAACTTGTCATGCTCTTCTTCAGTCCAACTCTCACGAGACTTGGTAATTGTATAAGGTTTCCTAATTTTCTTGCCCGACCCATCACTGCTAGTTGCTGTTGTTGTCCCTGTAGCTGCTGCTGCTGAAGATGATGGTGTAGCCATCGATTGAGCAGGACCACCAGGATTCGCTCCTGCCCCTACTGTTGAAGTTGAAGAGCTAGAGTTGTTGTTGTTCATTGTCATGTACAGCTACTCTGTTTTCCAAGCATAGACTTGTGTAGAGATTGGAAAAACAGGAAAGACAGCGGGTGTGGTGTGGCTGTCAGTTATTGCGTGCGTGAAGGCAGAGGACATAAAATGGCAAACACACTCTCTCTTTTTTCTGTGGCGGGCTGTGTGTCTGTGCATGTGAGGCATTTTAGACCTTTCAATTAATCGTCTACTTTACTTCCTTGTCTACGCCGATCTTTTATCGTCTCAAACGACCTAAACCCGTCCCTCCATCTTCCTTTGACGTGGAATCTGATCTTGCGTGATATCATTTGACTCGCAAGGACTATACTGTTCCTCCTCGTTTGTTGTAGTTCAGCTAGTAGTCAGCACCCTATTTTTCTAAAATTGACGATCTCCGTGGGAATATCGCCAAATTCATCAATTAAATTATCATTTTTTTAAAATTATTAATACATTTTTTATTAATATTTATTATATAATAATTATTAATAATTGATGAAAGGAATAATAAAAAATATATTGATAATTATATAAAAATAGATGGAATAATAACTTGATTGATAAATTTAATGGAATGTAATTTTGGTATTTAGGAATTCTCCTAATCACATGTTTTTTATAAACTTTTCTACTAGGTTATTTTTTTATTCTACAGTATGATTATCTTCGGATTAATAAATTGAGATTAAATTTTTCTTAGGATGATTTTACATCTTAAATTGAGCAGGTGTATTAATTATTTTTTAGATTTTACGCATATTGAGACATTGGATAATTGAGATTTTTTTGATTGAAATTCTAATTTTTTTTATTTAATTTAAGAGTTCTACTCTTGTGTTGTTGTTGTTGCTTCGATTCTTAACCAATGACGATTTGTCACATCACCAATTCAATCATATAATTTAGACCATCATTACAAGTGGCAAGTCGTCATCGACTAGAGCTTACCAAATATACTTACGTTGCATATTAGGATCTAAAACAATAACAACATAAAAGTAGAATTCTTAAATTGGATATAAAAAACTTAAGATCTCAATAAAAAAAAATTCAAATCATAAAGAGTCTCGAAATATGTAAAATCCATTATTTTTCAATAAATTCTTATACACACTTTAGTAATTTATAATATTAAGTACATTTTTTAGCATGATAATGAATATATTTAACACATTTTTATGTGTATCATTGATTATTTTTTTTGAAAAAAAAGGTTAAAAGCTTTTATGCATCTTTTTATTCTTAATTTTGAACTATTTTTTTGTTTTTCTTTTTATTTGTTTCAAAGCCCACTTTTTCTTTTTAAAATTATATTGGTTGAGTTCTTATTTGACCAGATATTGATCGATTAGTACGTAACCTCCACTGTATGTTTGACATGTGTCAAGTGTCATGCACCACGTGTGTATTTTTTTGCTTCCCCCTTCTCTTCTTCTCTCCATCAGCAAATCACCATGACCTAAAAAAAAAACACCTATTTCAAATCAAAGCTTCATCGTCAAACAAAGAAAAAGCTATAATTAGAAAGTCCAACTTTTGAATTTTTTTTTTAATTCAAGTGTCCAACAAATAAATTCTTCTATTTAAGTGTTTAACTTTTAATTTTTTTTATTCTTTTTATTCGAATGTCCATAATCACCTAAAATTAAAAAAACATTAATATGTCCAGGATAAAATATCACATAGTAAAAAAATAAGTTTCACTTGAATTATTAAAAAAATATACAATTTTTTTAAAGAAGCCTGCAGTTTAAGTTCTTAACCTTTGATTAATTTTTTATTTGAGTGTCTAAAGTTTGATTTTTTTTTTTTTTTAGTTTCTTGGATAACTTGAGATTGAAAAATACCGGCATGGCGAGATCTACTAATACACGACATCTTTAATCGACATTTGATAAAAAAAAAAAAAAAGGGTTTCACTAGGATTTATTGAGAAAAAATTATAAAACTTTTATAAAAGAAAATAGCTAGCAATAATTATATAAAAAAATCTAAATCAATTATTGTTAACCGAATGAACTCGGGTAGTTTATCGATCTATTTCTTAAAATCCTTTCAAAATATCATCATCTAAATATTTTATTTGCCTAATTCAAGAATTTTAACATTGGATCATCTAAACAATTCAAGTTCGTTTGGCTAACAATAATTGATTTTGATTTATTTTTTTGAATTATTGTGAATTATTTTTTTATATTTTCTCCTTAATAAATCTAAGTGGAACTAGTTTTTACTACATGTCAGTAGATCCTAGCCAAGTCAGTACTCTCTAGTCTTAGATAATTGAGAGAACTCAAATAGAAAAAAAAAAAATAATAATCAAATGTTGTGTATTCAAACAAAAAAATAATTAAAAGCTAAGCACTCAAATTGTATTTTTTTTCTCAATAATCCAAGTGGAATCTTTTTTTATTATGCATCATTTAAAAATTATCATGTGATAGTTCGTTTTGAATACATCAGTATTTTTTTTGTCTTAGATGATTGTAGACACTCAAATAGTACAAAAAAAAAAGAGTCAAAACTCAAACATTCAAATTGAAGGATTTACAAACTGGAATCTCAAACAAAAAAAAATCAAAATTGAAAGTTTGACACTTAAAAAGCAGTTTTTTCCTTTGAGATTCCAATGTTGAATCTACAAAAGTTAAAAGGATCTTCTAAAATCAAAATTATAAGAGAAAATAAGTCGAAACTCATGTCGAAGATGTTATTGCTTAAAGTCATCAACTAATGCAAAGTCCAAAAGATTTTCAAAATCATTTTCACTTATTACCAAAAAGAATTATAAAGATTACAAATCACCTTGGTAAAAACCAAAACCCAGATGAGATAAATAAATAAATAATATCTATAACAGCCCATCATCTAAAAAACTTCAACCAAGGTAAACTTTAAAAATTCGAATGAAAGGCTTCCAAGTTAGGCATCTATGCCTAAAATCTTAATATGGTAATTTAACTTTCCAAATTCACCATGAAAAACATTATTATTGTCGTTCACTGTTATTATAATAAACACAGTAACCACTTTGAAACTCTAGCATTACTATCGTGCTCACTTGATAACTCACGACGTGGGCCTGGATCTTTAAACAACTATTTTTTCATTTGTTATATCTGATTTGGATTTAAATTTGGAATTTGGTCTCGGGCATGATTTTGATTTATTGTAGTACGAGGAAATGTGTTTGTGGTATGAAACGGATGAGAGCAGATTGGAAATGTTAAGATGTTAGAAAGCAACAAAGAAGAAGCAAAAAGAATCAAACGATTTTGTGCATATATATATATATATATAGAGGGTGCTTTGGCGGCCACAGGTTGGTGATGGTCGATTTTTGTGGGGCAACGATCGGTGGAAGGTGCTTTGGCGGTGGAGAGAGGAGGAGGAGGAGGAGGAGGAGGAGGAAAAAGAAGGAAAAAAGAAAAAGGAAAATATTTACACCCATTTTTTACTTATATATTGTATTACACTTGACACGTTATCCTATATACTTAAAAAAAACGATGTTTTACCATAGCAAAGAACAATCTTAATCACTATTCATTATTATAATGTTTTGATTTTTTAAAAATTTTTTTTTTACCAACGTCGCTTTTTTCTCCTTTTTTTTTCGTTTACTATTTATATGAACAGTAAACGACTTCCCTCATCTTCCTTTTTTTTTCCCTTTCTAAATATTGAATTTTTTTTTTAATTTCCATTCGTTATTGTTCACATGAAAAGTAAACGAGTGCCCCCATTTTTTTTTCTAAAAATTGAACTTTTTTTTTAATTTTCGTTTCTTAATAATGTTGGGTGTTAAAATTTTAAATGAACTAAAAATTAATTAGGTGTTAAAATTTTAAGGAAACCAATAATTTATTTTCTTTATTATTTATTTCTAAAATTTAAAAACACAAATAAAAAATAGTTAAATACATTTTTTTTGATGAAAAAATTATAATTATTTTTTTATCATAAAACAAATTATTAAACTGAAATAATTTTTTTAAATAATTTTATATATTTTATTCAACCAACGACGTAGCATGGGTCCTTTTTTTCTTTAATTTCCATTCGTTACTGTTCACATGAACAGTAAACGTTGGCCTCCATTTTTTTTTCTAAAAATTGATATTTTTTTTTAATTTTCGTTTCTTAATAATGTTGGGTGTTAAAATTTTAAAGGAACCAACTATTAATTAGGTGTCAAAATTTTAAAGAAACCAATAATTTATTTTCTTTGTTATTTATTTCTAAAATTTAAAAAAATAAATAAATAATAGTTAAATATAATTTTTTTGATGAAAAAATTATAATTATTTTTTATCATAAAACAAATTATTAAACTGAAATAATTTTTCTAAATGATTTTATATATTTTATCTAACTCGTAACGTAGCGTGGGTCAAAAATCTAGTCAGATATACTAAAAGAAAACAAAAACTATTGTAGCATTTTTATTGTATATTAACTTTTCACCTTTTTTTCCCTCACCAAGCCTCTTTTTCTTTTAGAGGTTTTTTTTCCTTCCTCTTCTTCGGCCAAGGCCTCTTTTGGCTTTTCATAAACTTTATTTTTAGTTTTAATCACTCGTTCATTGCTACGGTGCTTTGATTTTGTTTTTAAAATTTCTTTTTTTTGCCAACGTGGCCTTCTTTTCCCTCTTTTTTTCGATTCACTGTTTATATGAACGAGTAAACGACTTCCTCCCCCTCCTTTTTTTTCCTTTCTAAACATTGAACTTTTTTTTTAATTTCCATTCGTTACTGTTCACATGAACAATAAATGCTGGCCCCCCCTTTTTTTTCTAACAATTAAACTTTTTTTTTAATTTTTCGTTTCTTAATAATGTTGGGTGTTAAAATTTTAAAGGAACCAACAATTAATTAAATGTTAAAATTTTAAAGAAACCAATAATTTATTTTCTTTATTATTTATTTCTAAAATTTAAAAACACAAATAAAAAATAGTTAAATACAATTTTTTTGATGAAAAGATTATAATTATTTTTTATCATAAAATATATTATTAAACTGAAATAAATTTTTTAAATGATTTTTATTTTATCCAACCTACGACATAGTGCTGGTCCTTTTTTTTCCTCTCTAAACATTGAACTTTTTTTTTTTAATTTCCATCCGTTACTGTTCACATGAACAATAAACACCGACCTCCATTTTTTTTTCTAAAAATTGAACCTTTTTTTTTTAATTTTCGTTTCTTAATAATGTTGAGTGTTAAAGGTTTAAAGGAACCAACAATCAATTGGATGTTAAAATTTTAAAGAAACCAATAATTTATTTCCTTTATTATTTATTTCTAAAATTTAAAAACACAAATAAAAAATAATTTAATACAATTTTTTTGATGAAAAAATTATAATTATTTTTATCATAAAACATATTATTAAACTGAAATAATTTTTCTAAATGAATTTATATATTTTATCCAATTCGCGAGCATAACGCGATTCAAAAATCTAGTATCAATTTATAGTAGTTGTTCGGAACTGATCGATGGATAGTCATGATTTTTTTATCAAACAAAGACTTAATCAAAAGAATTTTCAAAAAAAGTAAAAAAATATTAAGACAAATGAAAATAAAGTTCTAAACTAGTAAAAAAAAATAAAAATTGAAAGACGCATATAAGTTTTTAATAATAATAATAATAATAATAATAAAGAGTTAGTGTCGAATGTTAGGCAGCTAGCTTTGTTAGTGAATTCACTTGATGCTGCGCGTTGGTATTCAAATTTCTCTTCCTTTATCAATCTAAAAAAAAAAAAAACAGTTAGAAGCCACGCTTAAAAATTTTGTTTGTATTTTATCACTTTTATTAAAAAAAAACAACTTATTTTCATGTAATGTTATTTTAGAATTAGAATATCATTTCAATTTTTCTTTTCTTTTTCGTCTAGGATATCCAAATCATGACATGTAAAGAATTGAATTCTCTCTCTCTCTCTCTTTATATATATATATATATTTCATCGAGTTCAATGGACTTTTTATAATTCAAGGATAGTTAAAAAACACTCCTTCTATCCTAAACATATTGTTTACTTTAACTTTTCACATAATTTTAAAAAAAATTATTAATTATTATATCATATTAGTATTTTATTATTTATATTTTTTAAAAATATTTTTTTATTCAAATTGTTAGTTATCAAATTTACTCATGCATTTCATGAAATCAATATTAATTTCAAGAGAAAAATCTATCCAAAATTAATATGGTAAATTAAATAAAAAAATTATTAAGTTAATTAATGATCAAGTTTAAAATAATTATAGAAAAATAACATACTAATAAAAATATTTTACTCTCAAATTTTTGACATGCAATAAAGTTTTTATAAGAATGAATGTTTTTGAGTAACAAAAGATTATCATTTAAAGTTTTTGTGTGAAAGATATTTGTATGTATAAGGAAAAGTATAAAGAATATTAATTTTTTTATAAGTAAAAAACTAGAAAGAGAAGAAAATTTTTATTTTTTAATTAATTAGAGATATTTAAAAAATATGTTATTTGGATTTTTTATCACACAAATATTTTGAGACATATAAATAAAAAGAAGAACTTTTTTGTTTCTCTGTGTTGGGGGGGGATTGGTGGATGGGGTGGTAAGGATAGAAACTAGACTCCCTCCCAGACATTGCCTTGCTTTTTCTTGATGTTTAAAAAATAAATATGATTAGGATTATATAATTATGATTATGATTGATAGATAACCTCAAACTAGATGCATTCTTATTTCTTGATGTTTAAAAAATAAACAAATTGGTTTTTTTTGTTTTAAAATTTTTAAAAAATTTACTTGCAACTTAATTTTTTAATTTATTTTGATTTTTGGTTTTAAAAAATAGAAAAAATATTAATTATTTTAAAAAATCAAATGAGGAGAAAAAAATATTTTGTAAATTAAAAGTTTGTAATCCATAAAAAAGGGAGAAGATTCTCTCTTGTCTGCCACATAACTTGGAATACAACTTTGATTTGGTAGCTGTCCATCTGAAGAATCAGTCATTTCTCAAGATGATCAATATTAATCAAAAAATTAAATAATAATTTTTAAAATAAAAAATTAATTACTTCGTTATTTGAAATTAGAGCGACTAATTTATAATTTACCCAAACTCATGCTTATAAATAAATGATAATTCATAAAAAAAAAAAAAAAGGTTAAGATTCTCTCTGATCCGCCACATAACTTGGAAAGTAACTTCGATCCATCATTGACAGCGCCGCCGATGTTTTTAAAACTTTTGGCGATTAATCGCCAAACTTAACTGGAGGTGGGACCCCATGAGATTTGAGACAGCAACGTGTGAGTCTTTCTAGTCCACTAATCCTAGGAACCACCGATGACGTTGCCATTTTGCATTTGCGTTTCTTCATCGAGGAGGGAAGGTGGTGGCCAGAATTTAAGCCTTGTTGAGTCACATGACCCCAAGAAAGATCCAACGGCCAATAATTGATCATTCCCTTATTGTGGGACAACGTCACCCCCGATCAACGCCTAACTAAAAGAAAGAACCCATTTTTCCTACCTTTTCACAATCAAGGATCAAGTGACACTTGGTTGCTTGATCTCCACTTGAAATGAAAAGACTTTTTTCCATCTGGTGTTTTGGCTGACCTTACCTGCCGACCATGAGAAAACACAGGTGGGGACACAAGAAAATTTGGATGTGGCAGAAACTCAGCATGTTCTTATAGCCAGTCCTTCAAGAGGTGATGTGTGGTCGTTCCTAATTTGGTGTTCCTAATCACATGGGCTTATGCGAAACGAGCTCAACCATAAGGTCATTCAGAAAGTACACACATATGATCCCCCATTTGGACGAACTTCTCTATGTGGATTTTGGTGATTATTTGGAAGCATATAGTTTTTTCTTTCTCCCCTTCTTTTTATCAACGGACCAAACCTCTTCCTGCTTCCAAGTGACATGCATAGCGGATATTTGATATTCTTGCTTAAAAATTTTAATAAATTCAAATTACAAATTATAAAAAAAACTAAACATATTGGGAAATCATCAAGTAAACAAGGCAACAACAATTGCAAGTTTTTTTTTTAAAAAAAAATTGAGATGTCGACATGTGAAAAAAATTTAGCAATAAAATAAAATATTTATAATATTATTCAGTGCTATTATTAACTATTATGGATGTCACCTTTTTGTTCCTTAGTGTCTATAGAAATTAATTAACTTATATATTTTTAATTATATGTCAATTCATGTTTTTTTTTTTTTTTACGTGAGTTCAAAATACACAATAATTAGATTGGATTGAGGATAAATCTCGTTCAACATAAAACTTTAGGTCGCAAGAATGAACACATATATTTTGATAAGTAAGCATCCATGTCCTGCTTTTAGGATGCATTAGGAAGATTTGTTTGGAGGATTCGGAGTAGAGTTCATTAAATGAAGGCTCAATTGTTTTTTTTTTTTTTTTTTTTACTTTTACCGGTAAGTTGAACAATTTAGTCCAAAAGAATGTCCAATTTTATTCAATTCAAATTTATTATCCAAATATAGATGGCATGACACGATCTTAAAGATCCAACGTCATTTTCAATTCACTATAAATGCCAACCTTACATCGGTGTGAGGGATTTTTTTTTAACTTTATGATTCTAACTTTTGATATCTAGTAAAAAAAAAAAAAAACCTCCGAATTTTTTCTCAAAACTCTTTTACTCACATACAAGACATCATCTAAAACTTCATCCATTTGGACTTTAATCATCCAGGTTGTCGACCACTCGACTTGCACTCTGCAAGCACTACCTACTCCTCCTTCAACACTTCTCAATACTCACATCCTTTTTACTTCGTTGGTTGATCATTAATTTTAAGTCACAACTTACGCTCTTTATATCTTGATTGGTCTATTGACCAATCGTTTGATCAATTCTCTAAAACCCCTCTCTCCTCATATTTTGGCAATTCTATCGGAGAGTTAGTGATTGTAAAAAAATAATGATCCTTTCCAAGACCACCAAGAAGAACATTAATCTTGCTACCAACTCAAATGCTCGCAACAATGATGATACTCTACCCGATCCAAATCTTGGAAAGTTGAGGTTTCCTCATTCATTTATACAATACTAAGCACACCTCATGACAAGTCGATGCATCTTCTCGATAACAATGCTTATTTATCTTTTTTTTTCACCTATAACACAATAAACTAGGTGAGCATTGCTCAAGACTTATAATTCATGCAAAGCATGAATGCACACGATGCATTTTAAAATCATGTATGTGCATTTCAAAATTTATTTTCCTCCTCGAACGTATCCTACCGATCGTGTATATAATCGATCATTTTTTAAAGTATGCAATTTGTGAAAAAACATAAAAGTACAAGACACCTTCCTTTTTTCCTCATCTTTTTTTTTTTGAAAGAAACATTTTCTTTTTCTTAAGAGAGGTTGATCAATTCCTCCCGCACAATAATGTCATTTCCATTTTCTTTCCCTTTTGAAGGTGTCAAGCCATTTTCTCTTGAAAACATGTCCTTTTTTTTTCTATTTTCTCAAAACCATAAATTAAAATCCTTTTTCATGATCATGATATGCAAATACATTTGAATGAAATACATTTCTTTACCTTTTCCTCTATCAAGCATGTTTAACATGTTAAGTATATGTAAATAAATTTTTGAGTATAACATGTACTAATTAAACTAAAACATGCATACTTAGCAATCAATGAACATATAATACATATAAATAATTATTTACGTGTTCTAGATTAACAAAGTATTCATAAAATACTTTATAAATAAGGAAATCTTAGCCTTGCTTAACTTAATTTTAAAACATGTAATTGATGTTAGGTTGAGAAAATTTTGGTTTGTAATAATGAAAAATATTTTTGGATGGTTAAAGGAATTTTTATGTTAAGGAAGGAGGCTTGTTGGCTTACATTCATTGCACTCTGAATGTAAATCAACATTGGTAATACTCTCAACCTATCTAGGTCCTAGGTTGGAGGTATTATATTTTATTTCTCGACGAGTTGAATAAAGGGAATATCATCCTCGATAGTGATGATGGTATGTAAGAAAATCTCATATTATAACATCAAAATTGCTACAATAACCAAGTGAATTCTATTTTTCATGACCCAATTGAGTTGTAAAAAGAACGTTTAGCATGAAAATCGCCAAGTTACTCTTAGCCATACCCTACCTTGTGTGAAAGAGGTAGATAAAAATGATGCCTCCATTACATACTCTTTAATAAAGACTTCAAATTTTTATAAGTTTATCGATCTCTTGAGCTTTAACAAGGAAGCCGAAAAGCAACTATGATAACCTTTGTCTAGATATCTAAGGGATAGTATGACAAGTATTCCGTTGTCAACTATCTAGTTGAAAAAATAGTAAAAAATCATAAAAATGATGTGCTCTTTGTTGATACTAATTATTTTATAAATAAGACCAATTATAATCGTCCACTCTGTATGAAGAGTAAAGTGAATGATTTCCCTACTCGTTGAACCCTCATTGATAGTGGTTTCTCCTTAAATCTCATACCAATTATCACGATAAGAGGTTTATACATTGATGAGAGATCTATGGACTAGATATTAACTCATAAATCCTTTGATAATATGTATTTCTAAGCTCAAGGATATGTTATAATGGATTTTTAAATGGAATTTATACAATGCTCAATCTGTTTTTATGTCATTGATGCTTATGTGTCCTATCACTTGTCGATTAAGAGACTTTTCTTTCGATCCTAGATCAAATAATAAAGGGGAAGCTTTAACATTACTTGGAAGGCATCAAATTGTGCGGGAAATATAACTTTCGCCTTAACATAATAGAGGCTAATTCCTCATTATTCTAAGTGGTTATCTCACTCTCATGATTTCCCTTAGCAATCGACATATATTTTTAGAAATTATATAGCAAATATAAGCTTATAGACTATGTTACAACATGTTTATAGAGAGAGGAATAAAGTTGCTAACGGATTTATGGATTGGGTTTTCCATCATGCTTCTAGCAAGGTTCTTTTTATAGCTGCTAGATTGCCCATTACTGTCACCAAGCAATCTCGGATGATAAACTAGGATTATTTAACTATCGTGTTGCTTAAGAATTAGTCAAGGATTCATCTCCAATATTATGATTTAGTTAATATTTGGTTGTCCTTAGAGTTTTTTCTATTGCTTTCTTTCCATTTGTTTGTAATCTCCTTATAGGAATTATTTTATAATGATCTTTAAGGAAATTTTCTTATAGGTTTATTCAGGGGTTTAGGCTTCTTTGTTCTCCCAATATGTTGGGTTAGGATCGGTTTGTCCTTCATAATTTTCCACTTTCCATCTAATATGTTCTAGGGTACCATCCTTAATTGTAAAAAAAAAAAAAAAAGATTGAAAGAATTTTCTTTCATGAATTTGATTTGATTCTATCCTCTAGGAATCGATGTGTAAAAAAGTATTGAAGAGAAATAAACATCTTCATTCCCGGTGTCAAGCTATCTTTTAAGCATGATGAATTTTATTTTATGAAAGCATCATTTTATGATGAGTATACGATCGATAATGAGTTCAAGATTGGTAAATAGATAGTTAATTCTAATAAAGTAGTTGCTTGAGGACGACTATAAGAAGAAAAGCACTTGTAAGGATGGAAAAAGAAGGAGGCATAATGATTATCTCAAGCAATTGAATCCATAGATCAACACTACCATAATACTCATTCATTTTTTTATCAAAAAATTCTTGTGTAATGAAATTATTCTCAACACTTGTAATTTTTAAGTGTTTTCTTCCTAATAAAAAAAAGTTTCTTAGAATATTAGTTTCATCTTATATTTAATGATTATTCAATCTTTATGGTAAAAACATTAATCTAAATCTATGTATTTGGTACTTAAAAAAAATGATAGAGGGGCACATGAGAGTCATATTCTTAAAGTTTATTAATATGCCATGCCTATTTTTTTTAATGGCAACACCGTGTCCATTTGGTCAAGTTGTATGTTGGTTAGGCCATGAGCTTTTCATACTCAATTTTACTTTCCGATGGCAACTCCATGTCTATCTAGCCTAGTCGTGCTCGAGCCGGACCGTGTAGTTTTCATGATCAATTTTTCTTTCCAATGGTAATTCATGTCCACTTAGCCAAAATGCATGATGGTTAAACTATGAGTTTTCTATGCTCGGTTTTTTGTTATTTTTATGGCAACACTATATTCATCTAGTCTAACCGATCACTAGCTGAGTTATGAGCATTTCATGCTCAATTTTTCCTTTTTATGGCAACATCATATTTATCCGGCCAATTTATGTTTTGGTCAGGCTATGAGCATTTCATGCTTAGTTTATTTTTTAGGGTAATGC